GTGGGTCAAATTCCAAGGTCAAGGTCAAAAGGTTAAATTTGATGGTGACAAAAGAAAGGTCTTTTAACACGAAATGCACATGTTAAATATGAAAGTCATAACGCCATAAATTTTGGGCAAGGTTAAAGTTTTTGCGGACGAACAGACAGAGAGACATACAGCTAGACAGATGGACGGACACGATAAAAATTACCCCCCCCCCGAAATTTCGTTTACGGGGGCATAATAAGTGCAATGTTTTGAATAAAGAATGTTTAACCAAACAAAAACTCAAACATTCTATGCATGTATAAACATGTATGTGATGGTTTTCTGTATTAAAAATATTATTGTTACATTGAAAACATACTACCTGATAATTATAATAATATTACAGTGTAATGCATATTGAAGTATGCAATGCTATATTGAAAATACTCTGAGTGACACAGATTGTGTACCTTATCCTTGATGTCCACCTTATTGAAACCCTAGGGAAATACATGTAGATCTTAAAATAAATCTAGTCTTTTAAAATATTTCCCACTTTCGGTCATTGGACAACTATATACAGTTATTGATTTTTACTGGATAAGTGTATTAAGTTTTGTCAATGTTATAAGAAAAACTTCACTAAATTTATAATTAGAAGGAAATAAATGGAGCAAAGCAAAGATCTACAGGAAATATTTTAAATATTAAAAAGTTTGTCTATAAAATATGTCTTATAATAAGCCTTTTTTACGAGCGTAAGAATAAAGAATGTCAATACAGATTAAAGGTTACAAACATGTTAGCATTTTCCTTCAGTAATAATTTACAATATTTAAGTAATGAAGATTAATTGACTATGATTGTTTAACGACAAGTCGGCACTATTTCAGCATTTTTTTTTTTTGTGAAAAACGAGCTTCATTTATACAAAATAATACTGACTTCAAAAAGGTTTGATTTTTACGCAAACACACATAAAACACAATAATGATGAAGCTTTATCTTGTCCTTTGGTATTCTCTAAGCAAAGAGATAGGATCCCTTAATGCATAACAAGGCCCTCTCATTTTTCCAATTAGTTGACAATCACGCTCTGATTATTTTAATAATATCAAAATAAAGAAGAGACTCACTGCTCTCATAGTGTATAATTTGTTTTTGGATAATTTAAGCATAGGAAAACAGAATTCGGGAAAACCAATTTTCTTAAATATTTAAGAAAATAGGCTTATTTGACTACTTCATCAAAGAATTTAAATATTAACACAGCCTTCGCTCGAAAAAATATGTTCTATGGTTTTTAAAAAAAGCTTTTGTCTTATGTAATAGCATATTTTGCATCAGATTTTGTGAAATATAGAAAAATATACTTTAACATTAAACTGAAAGAATATTAAGAAATGAACAATTTTAAGAAGCCTTAATGCACTGTCTAGGGAAAAAATTACATCAAGTTCAATAGATACATTTTCACCAACTGACCTAGTGATTCATGTAAATATGACATTGTCACAGAAACTGAACAGTATTGGTATTTAAGAAATTTACAGGGCCTTTAAAGTTAGCCTTTCTTATTGAATTGTGATTACTAAAAAACACATCAGCCGTTTTGAAAAGGAAACGCCACCTTCAAAAAAATGTTTGTCGTCTTCCATCTATGCAGAACAAAAACAATGGGTCGGTAAGTAATTTAAAAATATATTAAAACATATTTGTTGACGGAATGATAAGACTAAGGGATAAAATGGAAAAAAAAGGTTTCCTAGCCGACAAAAAAAAAAATGAACCGGGTAATTTTTTTACCAACTGGTCGTAAGAAAACAAATAATTGTTTTGTTTCAAGATGGCCTTCAGCATATTTATTTTGAAAGTAATATCAACTTCCTTCTTGTGTGGCCCAGGTATTTTTGCGTCACCATGAAACTTATGCTGATAATTTTCTTCTCGAGGTTTTATTGGAAATCGTATGGATATGGTATGTAGAATTATCTATATAATGTCATTGAACGTTCGATTAGTACATAACTATATGCTCAATTTAGTTTTAAATTAAATTTAATGACGGTAATGCAAGAAAAAAAAATGCTTTAATTTAAGAACTTTTTTTACATGTGAATTTTGAAGGGATGTTATAGTTTGCCATATTACGAAAATCAATTATTCTTTATCTTTATTATTGTTCATATCTCTTTCTATTTCAAAGTATTTTCAAATAATTAAGAAAGATAACGTTTACTTAAAGCATCAGTGCACGTAAGCTGAGAAATTTTGTTCCTCCAGTGCTTTGAGAAAAACAATTTTCCAAAGTTTCTGAACTTTTTGTATCAGAGTTATTAAACATTTTTTTTTAAACCTGGGATTGGTATGAAAGTATAAAATAATGCCGAGCGACACTTGGTACTTCTTTTACTATGTTATTTTCCATTAGGTGTATTTTGAACAAAATTCTGGTATTGTCAGTGCAAGTCAGGTGCACGATTAGTAAGCAAACATGTAATGGGTGTGTTATGGTCTGCATGCATCTACAGGGACAACCCATCCGTAAACACTAGACTGTTTATTATTTGTGCATCATGAAAATACACAATCTCTCTCTCTTCTCCATTTTGAAGCCCTTCATCGGCATACGGTGACGTCTGCATATGAGTGAAAAATTCTCGAGAGGGACGTTAAACAATGTACAATCAATCAATCAATCAATCTTCTCCATTTCTACTTAAGTGAAGAATCTGAAAATGGAAAATTATGTGCCAAATGTTAATTTACCACTTCAAGCAATTGTATGTTTCCACCTACATGTACTTGCGGGTACCTTAAATTCGAAAGCGGTCCAGTTAAAACTTCTGGAATTTAAGGCGTATACAAGTTCTTTTCAATGACGCAGTATTTAATTATAGATATATGGATGGGTACATTAATATCAGTTGATTGATTGTATATTGTTTAACGTCCCTCTCTAGAATTTTTCTCTCATATGGAGGCCGCACCACTTGCCGGTGATTATCCTACACTCGACACTTATTTACGGTCATTGAGCAGTGAGGAGTCTTTTTTGTGCCAGTACCTACTGCTACACAGGACCTCGGTTTATACGGTCTCGATTATCCGATGAACCGGTTTCCAAGTCCCATGGGATTCAAACCTGCAACGGAAGAATCAATTAACTCCTTAATTCGTGACGACAGAAGACGCTCTAATTACTGCGCCAAGCGAAAGACTTTAAAAAATAAAATGTAAGGCATGTGCATGCACTGTTAGTCATTAATATATTGTTAATCAAAGCTTGATAAAAAGAAATTTTTAGGTTTTAAATGGCATACTAAATAGTAATTTATAAATTGCACTCATTCTATAAAAAAGATCTCACCAAAGTAACTTTCAATGGTTCTTCTCTTCACCAGATTTCCAAATGCGGTCCAAGACTACCCAAAAGAAGCTTAACTTTTTGTCTGATATTAAGGTTCTAAAGAGGGATATTTTTTAAAATCCCTTTACATGCATGATGCAGAATGAAACTTGGATTTCCTATAGAGGTCCCATCATGTCCATGGGGGCATTGATTTGAACAATTAAAAATCAGCAGTGTACCCGAGTATGTCTTCATGTAACTTAAAGCTTTACAGGCCCAGTGGTTCTAAAGGAGATTTATAAATATTGTTCCTGTATGTTACAGAGCAAATTAAAACGTGCATTCCCTATTGTGACCGAATTCTACCCCTAGGGCCATGATGTGAACAATTTAGAATCTACCCTGGAATGCATCCACATCATTTTCAGCTTTTCGGAACAAGTGGTACCTAAGAAGAAGATATATAAATATTCTGTGTTTTAATTAAAAACCTTAGCTTCCCTTTTGTACACCCACTCGGATACACTGATTTGAACAATTTAGAATTTACACCACCGAAGTATGGTTTTATGACTTTTATGTCCCGGATGCTCTTCAGAAATTTCGTAAATGTCTTTTTCCTATCATTTAATGCAAAATCTACCCTATTGTGCCCTACCCCTTCCTCGGGGGCTTGATTTGAACGATTAAGATTTACACTTCTCCATGATGCGTTAACATGACGTTCACTTTTTTTCAGCCGTGTGTATTTTAAGAAGAATTTTGGAATATTTTTCTTGTATATTTCGATTTCCCTATCGCAGTCCCAACTCTAGTTCTGGGGGTCATGAGCTCCGAAATACCCCAACAATCTAACTATGTACATGTAAGGATAGTAGAAAATCTTTTAGTGAAAATGATTAGTATATTCTCTGTAGAATGCGTTTATTCTGTCATGAAAAATACCAGCATTACATAACACTGAATACTTTACCTACTTTAAATGATTAATTAATTGGACTTAATATGACTGTGTTTTGAATTGTTAGAGATATGCTTTTGACGAATCGCACAAATAAAAACTTAAACTTATGACAACTTACAATGGAATTTTTGATTAACAGTTTCCACACAAACTGGAATGTTAATATTATCAAAATGGATGTCAGACGAGTGACAAGAGTTAACTATCTTTTGGGAAATATTGTTGGTTTACACACATAAATAGTTATAAATCGTTATTTCTATCAATTTGAATTACAATATCCATACTTAATTTGAGGGTGGGGAAAGCATATTAATTTTCTAATTCTAGCAGTCTTACTATCCGCTGAATATTAAATGCAGGCTAAGGTTATTATAAATTTAATGGCTGTTTTATTGATAACTTTTATAATGTCATAATGAAAAAAGGCGATTCAAAGATTCCTTGGAATCTTTGTTTTTATACTTTATCACTTATTTGGGAACATAAAAATATAAGAAAGATCTATTTTCATAGAAACATCATGTCGAGAAACATGTCAAATAGTAGAACAAATCTATATTCTGTTATTATATTTCTTATTCAATAATTATGTGATCAAGTTTGAGCCAATCAGTGAGCATATAATGATAGAGAAAATATATACGTACTTCCAAATCTTCTCTATTGATACATTGTTTTGTATGATACATGTATATCTGATTATGAAAATATATGATAGATCTACTATTAATATTTTACATTGAAGATGACTTGTCGTTTGGTAAGAGATCGGAACAAAGTTCTTCGGCAGTGTGTAAACCTGTATCGGCCTGCTGGGCAATTAATGCAGTGGACAGAGACAACAGTACTTGTATGAAGACTGCATACATCGGTCCTTCATCAACATATAAAACAGTGTGGTGGTATGTGGATCTGGGAGACGTGTACAGTGTGAACAGCGTTAGGATTCTGTTTAAGACCTTCGAGAAACAATATGGTAAGTTTCATTCATTTTTTATTCTAGAGGAACATTGTATTAAGATCCTTTGTCCTTCATGCAAATCGCTTCGGGGAATATACTTGCTCTTGGGGAATTGGAACTCGCTGATTCATTCAAATGTATAGTACTTTAATTGTATAGTGCCTACGGACATTTCAGGTTGCTCAAGGCATGAAGATTCTCTGCAGAAATCACAGCTGCTCTAGTTTAAAGAGAGTAATTTATATTAAGAGTCGTGAGAGGGGTCTATAAATTAATCATCAGATATAACTTTTATTTTTTAGATAACTATGATATTTTAAGCTGTCAACTATCATTTGGTAAAGAAAAATGTCATATATTTAAGTTTTTAATTTTGATCATTTTTGTGTCTGCATATGTAAATCTTCCTATGAGAGAGACCGATATATTCTAAAAATGGTCACCCCCTGCCCTCTTGATGAATTTAATCAAAAGATTAGCTTCTTTCATTGTAGAAAACAGACAAAGAGGGCGTTTTGCAGGATTTTCTCTTTATCTTTCTACTACTGCCAACAAAGAAGATGGTCATATGTGTTATAAAGACGGACTGCAGTTACCTTCCCTTGACTTCACAACAACCTGTGAAGGACATGGCTCTTATGTTATATTTTACAACGAACGATTGGATGGGACTGTTTACCCTGAAGGATATGAGAAGTTGATTATAACGGAATTATGTGAAGTGGTAGTGGAAGGTTGGTTTCTTGCTTTAAAGGTGTTCAAACACAGATTTGAAGTTAATATTTTCTCAAACTTTCTATTTAATATCATGCCATATGTTTCTATAAGCATTTGGGCATTATAATATGGAAATTGATTTTATCGGGAAATAATAGAAACAACGGATGTCCGGACACGGTTTTAACATCTTTACACTTTCACAAAACCGTATACAGTGAGGTCCCATGTCGCAGTAAGTGCTGGCACGAAAACGATCCCTCTCTGCTAAATGGTCCAAAGATCAGTGTATAGGACAAAATTTGCAGCTCTCCACCGCGGTAGTGGTAGCGTCTCCATATGAGTGAAAAATTCGCGAGAGGGACGTGAAACAATATACAATATACAATCAATCAATCAAACACTTTCACAAAGTAAACTCTATCCTTAATACTTTAGAAAAATTGAAACTTTGTTGTGTAAATGTATAAATGAGGAAAATTACACTACATTATACAGAAAAAAACTAGAAACGTGAGAAGACAACACCGACAAACAGGTAATAGTATTGCCACTCCGTGCTAGGTGAAGTGAAGTGTCCAGAGTTTAACACATTAAATACATTTGTGAAACGTTGACTTTTTTGAAAACAGTGCACGAGCTCTGTTACTGTTAATGTTTACGTTTCAGATCACCAGCTATGTTCAATGTGTTAAACTCAGAACACATCACTGAGCACTGACAATACTAGTGAATTGGTTTTACTTTCTCACATTTTGACTCTGAACTTTCTGGACTATGGTTTGGACATATTTCTTGTGCACAATAAAGTTTATTCTTTTCTAAAGTACATGTATTAGGGATAGAGTTTTCTTTTAAAAGGTGCAATGATTTATCAATCAAACGCATCCTGAAATTAGAGGTTTCAATAGCTTCCAGGAAAAATAAGTAGAGCATAGAACATGATATTGTACTGATAATTTGAGAACTTAATAACTTCAAATCTGTATCTAAGCACCTTTTAACTGAATGCATTTTAAAAAAAAAGATTGTTAAGGACAGGCGAGACGTTCCTAAATAATATATAATTCTTTCCAAGATTTTGTCATTGAAGAATTAAAACTTTTAATATGTTTACTCACAAAAAATTGAGGTACCTTGCCAAGCATTTGTGCGAGATACCACAGGGTGGCATTTCTTATATAATCCTTTAGGGACTAAAACTTAGTTTGTTAAAATCACATTTTTAGTGTTTCAAATTTTTAAAAACAATTAGAAACCGGTTTAGAAATCAGAAAGTAATTAAAATTTTGTATATTTTTCATATATTATGAAGATATACAAAACAGATATTTGGGGAACGTATCGTATGACCTTAAAAAAGCAAAGAAATACAGAGCAAAACTTGAATAAAAGAAAGGAAATTTTCATTTTGAGATTTAAGACATATTTTTTTTTCTCTGATATCCGTATTATATTATCAGTTTAATACTGAGTTATCCTTAAGAGATGTCATATATAAGGTGCGGTTCTGCTTCCGTTGGGAATAGACTATCGAGTAGGTTGTTGGTTTTCCTTTTGACTGTTTTATTATTTTTTTTAAGTTTTATTCCTGAAAAATATTCTCCACCTGAATTTATTTAAAATAACCGTTACATCAAGAATGAGTTCTTTGATGTAACCTTTATTAAGATGCTCAGACTATACACCCACATTTAGTTTTTAAATAAATAAGAAGTATTTATTTACAGTCATACCTAGATTTGATACATTTCAATAAAGTTTAATGAAATATAATATATAAATGTAGGACTGAAACAAAATAGCAGGAAAATATTCTACTATGAGGGGTTATCAAATAGTTCGTGGACTGAGGCTATAAAATTAGTACTATGTAGTCTGAGCTTATAATTTTTTTAAGGAACATAAAACAACAAAAAATAAAGAAATGTTGAAAATTTTAGCTTGATACGTTCATTATTTCCCAAATTATTATAAAATAAAAACGACATTATATCATCACCCGGTTGTTTCATGAAGTCCGACAACGTCATTTTTTTTTCAACGTCTGCTTCTTATACCTCATACACTTATTTTGATGAGATTCCCTGGAGCGGGGTTAGGATTTAATCAGTCTTGTTTATATGATTTTAAAATGTCATGAACAGCGCGGCTTTCAATGCATATAATATTGCAAATGGATTCATACAGTTGGAGAGATTCTCGTTTGATTTTGCCAGCATATTTTGCTTTTAGGGGTTCAATATATACAACACATGATCAACGTCATTTTTTGACTTGATTTTTTACACCTTGACTACAAATCGACCTTATCTGTACATTCCTTTTGTCTCTGAATCTACCATTGCATTAAAAAACAAGTACTCTGGAACCATATTATTTCTTTGTAGCCAATTTAAACATTTCCTAGGTCTATACCATTTTTTTCAGGGGCAAAACTTTATAGAATGTTTGAAAAGGACAACCTTACCCGTTTTTGACATCATTGCGTGGACCCTGAGGTCCACGCAGTAAAGATATAAGCGAGGTTAAACCGGATGCCATGTGCAAACGACAGGCTACGCATGCGCTAGAATGATATTCGCCCCTTAGTCAACTTGCCCGTACATGTAGAACAATTCGCCCGATTCGAATTCGAACATGCCTTTCATTGGCAAATTGCGCTTTTTAATCCGTATATCGTATTTATACATTCATTGGCGAATCCAAATTTTTTTCTTATACATATATTTTAGGTACAAATTAAACATTGATTCAATAGCATAAGCATTTTAAAAGGTAGGAAAAACTTGCAGTATAGATACATGTAACTTAACAACTTGAATTTAGAAATCATCATTCAACGACTAGTTCTTGCTTTTAAAAGACAGAACAAGTTTTCAGCGGCATTTCTTTTGTACATCAAGACTCGCACAATAATTTAATGATATTTCAGCAAAGTGTACTGTGTGATAGAGGTCTGTAGCAACGGTGTTTGATGGGGGGGGGGGGCAAAAAAAAATCCATAATACCACAGGAGTTCGCGTACCTATCAATTATACCGAAATGTTCGGCAAATATCTTTTTTATTTACCGAAAATTTCGGCAAAATTGATAGGTACGCGAACTGTGGTAATACATAACTGTGCTACACGTGCACCATCAGATCTATTTTTCTCATGATAGATTTCTTCCGCATAAATTCAGAATACATGTAGGTGTCAAATCCCAGTTATTATGGGTTACATGTATCAAAATAGCCCGATTTTTTAAACTGACAAAATTAAAGCTCGCTAATCGAAGATAAAATTGAACAATTTTGCTTTGAGACTACAATCAGTCATTAGTAGGCAGCTCATTGAAGAAAATGTGAACAAACCTAAATGAATAACTGATAAACCTAGAAATTTTCTTTAATTGAATTTCGGTTAGAAACACATGCATATCGTCCACGCATTGCAATCCTTTTTTAAAGACAGCAACTTGTTTTAAAGCAATAATTGTTTGGATACTCCATGTAAAATTTACGATAAAATTTCATTGAACTTCCAGAATGAGGTAAAAATTCCACATTTTATGTAACAATAGTGTCCCAACACATAACTTAATAAACAGGAATTTTGGATGTCAATCATATATAATAAAATAGTTTTTCTCAGTTAAACTTAGATCGAAAAAAATGTCGTTTTCGAGGTTGCGCCGCCTGGACATACCATTGCTTACAAAAACATTACTAATTCATTAAAAAATAAAATTTATGATTTGTGGTTTATTCTATAGATTGAAAAGATGATGCTAATTAGATATTTCAAAATTTTTTTGATGTACCAAAAGCGGTTTTATTTTTATGGCGCTAGTCCACGAACTTTTTGATACCCCCTCGTTTATAAACTAAATGAACTGAGCTCACCGATTCGCAGTAATTAAAAGTGCTACCGGAAAAAAATATCCGTCACTGCTCAAAGGCCGTAAATGCCGAGTATACACGTAAACCAAAATCTCGCCACCGACAAATGGTGGCGTCTCCACATGAGTTGCAGACTTTTGAGAGGGACATTAATCAACAAACAAGCTGTAAATATATCGTAACACACTCACTTATCAAAATAAATCAAAGCCGAGAACTCTCAGAAGATAACGCAATTCTACGGACACCTTGTTCTATACAACTTGTGTTTCAATGCATCTGTATTTATCTTACTTTAATTTTTGCTTCATTTTTTTAATATTTGAAAACATCAAGTTTCCGTTTTTTTCTCTTTATATTTAGAGTTACAAACTGTACTGCATGCATTAATGATATCTTTAGGCTGTAAAATGGGAACATTTGGTAAATTGTGCAGCAAGCATTGCTCTAAACATTGTGAAGAAAGTAAATGTGATATAATAAATGGAACATGTATGGGATGTATGCCTGGATGGACGGGACAGTTCTGTCAAACACGTAAGGTCACTTTCACAAGTAGTTTACCACATTTCACAAGTAGTTTACCACATTTTTTATGTCCGTTCAAATCCTGAAATCTATATTTATATATGCATTAATAGCGTGTGATAGTGGATCATATGGTAAGAATTGCAGTCTTCGATGTTCAGGACATTGTTTGGATGATCAAACTTGTAACCACGTGACTGGAATCTGTGAAAAAGGTTGTGCTCCAGGATGGACTCTGACAATGTGTAATGAATGTGATTTAAAATTATTTAGTCTAGAATTATTGATTACTCAAGCCCTAGAGGGGCTTGAGTTCTCTAAAACGATGCTAGGTCATCGATTTACTCAGTCTAAAAACACAAAAATATATTATATTTGTAGACAAAAAGATTTCTAGAAACAAAAATGAAGCTTATCTTGAATACGTCTGTATATTAAAGATATTAAGTGTTAAATATCGGATTCTATTCTACGGCGAATGAACAATGAGTGAAGCTTCGCAGCCGCTGTAACCGTGAATTCTGTCGCTACTGCTCAGTGTCGCTCTAAATATAAATTATAGATAAAAAAGCGACTCAAATCACTGGCTTCTGTGCATGCCCGGGGATTTTAGTCGCTTCAAATCAAAGCGGTGCTCCACTGATTTTAATTCCACGGTAATAGTATCCGAGGACATAGATTCTTATATTTTCTTTATTTATTTTAATCTTAAAAGAAGGCAAGACAAATAAAATTTGTGTTTTATGTTTATGACAAACATTCAAATTATTGTATCAAAAAAAGCTTACTTTATTCATTACATCTGAGCAAAATTTTTAAAATATATGAGTTTACCAATTGGAAAATTTCACAAAGTTATATTCTTTTTGAGTAAATCAGGCACGTAGCAACAGGGGGATGGAGGGCTTGCTCCCCCACTATTTTCCAGACATAACTTTTACCTGTGTTAAAAATGTTCATTGAAATTAGCCCCCCGCCCCCCACACACAATTTCAATAAACGATGCTACATCACTATAAATGATATAGCTATTTTATCATAATTACGTCCATTTGGTTAAATCGACGCATCTTACTGAATGTCACCTATCATGGATCATCATTGAATATATAATGAAACAATGTGAACAGACCTCCTCTAACCAAAAAACTACATGTATGATGAAAATTGATTGAAAACTGCTCAATTTTTAATTTAAGACAGAGAATGTTAACACCTAAACATTCATAGAGAAAATTCACATTTGTCTTTGTTTACAAGAAAAAAAAAAGAAAAACTTTTCAGCACTATAAACACATTAAAACCACAATAAATAGAGGAAATTCGCATGACAACTTTATTTGAAGTATACTGGTTGCAAGTGGCGAGACCATAATTTAACCTTACTTGTGTCTTGCATTACATTTATCGGCAAAACAAACGATAATTATTTTAATTTTGACTTGTTAAAATACTGTCTTACTTACAATAGATCGGTTTTGATTGTCCTCTCGAGTGCAAACAGCTGATTAAGTTGGATGCCGATCTCGATGTTTAAAAGTTAAACAGTTTATAGTACGCTTCTGCTGTTGCTTTCTTTTCAAAAATAGTTTTTTTTCAGCCAATAAATAAATATCTAATCAAGTTAGTCATATATTGCCCTTCTTCTAACATAATTTAAAAAAAAATTTAGAGATGAAGAACCACATGAAAGCCCACATGCCGATCGCGATGGAATAGCGTCGATTGTCTAAACACTTATTTTTCAAGATTTTGCTGAACATATTCAAAAAACCAGAATTATTTAACAGTCTCGGAACTTAATTACTTCGATTTTACTTCATTTTAAACACCAATTGCGTCTATATAAGCCGATTACAACTTTCTCTGGGTCTAATTATACTAGTGTCGAATTGCAAGGATATCGCTTGGGACTTCTATTTAGAGCGACCCTGAGCACCAGCGACAGTTTTCACTGGTACACCGGAACTGTTTCTATACAGAAATTTCGCGCTTTCCTTTGCGTAGGAATCGCAGGAATTCTTACAGTCGCCGACAAAGCATCCTTGGACGACTCCACTGCAGACTCTGAAAGGTGACGCAGGTTACCCCATCGTTAACAAATTCTACAATGCATGGCCAGAAAATGTATGGCTGTACCCCCAAATGAAATTGCTTTACACGGTCCTGCAAATGATGACAGTAAAATAATAGCACAAAATCAATATTAAATTCTCGTATTATCTTAAGCTTTGGTAACGGAACCTATTTTATAATAACTTCTTTTGGATTCGTACGGAATATGTATTGGACATGCATGTCGCTCAGCTGGATAAACCCCCTCGTCTCAAGACACGGTCCGGAGTAGGAGAGTAACGTACATTTTGGCTGTGGTTTGCAACGATGGATGAAACCGTAGTCACGTGGATTTTTTGGAGCCTGGAGCCCTCCCCCCTCTTCCACTTTGAAAAATTTTTCTACAGGCTTGTAGCAAGCTATTTAGATTGATTTATATATTTAAAGTGCTATGCTTCATTAAGCAAAAAAAACAAAAAAAAAAAAAAAAAAAAAAAAAAAAAAAATGTATAGTAATTTAAGGTATATTTATTTAAGGAATAACTGTCCTATTTTTCGAATTCATGAAGTGATCAATGGATTGGCTTGTGTGATAATTTGCATAAACGCCGAAGGCGTTTATGCATAAAATTATCACACAAGCCAATCCATTGATCATCTTCATGAATTCGAAAAATCTGACAGTTATTCCTTATATTTACATGCTTTGATTCCGCCAATCCACGGGCTCCAAGCCTGCTTCTCTCTAGGTGTTGTCCCGCCCTGCACGTGGTTTTTTTTGGAACCGCGCCAAAACATTCATGAGGAAATCAATTACATTTACAACTGGTAATTTTATCTCGGACAAAGACATTGGAATTGTAAATATAAGTGTTTAATGTCTACATTATAAAAAATATTTCATTAAATTAAGAAACGGCAACGTTACTATGCTCTATAAAATATTCCTGAAAGTGTGTCACGTAAAGCCATCTTAAAAAGTAGTGCGATTACTATTTCTTTTAATTAAATTCAATTTATGAATTTTGTTTCATCTAAATGTAGTTTATTCAACAGAAGATTGAACTCGAACAATAGCCCTCATCTTATACCCTTCCTAATTGACTTTCTACAGCTTGAGTATTTCTGACGTTTTGTCAGTATATACTTGTTTTTTGTTTTCATCGATACATGTAATAGTATTATTTTTACTACTAAGTATCTAATACAGCATGCAGTTATGGACGCTTTGGCCCAAACTGTGCTATCAACTGCAGTGGACATTGTTTAAATGGAAAAGCATGTAACAAGGAAACAGGGCATTGCGACTCTGGATGTACCCCAGGATACATCGGAAGTTCTTGTAATAAAGGTCTATATACTATTTAAGTTTGATTTTTCAAACATATAAGTAACCATTTTGAGGGTTTCCTTTAAGTAAACTTTTTCTTATTGTTTGTTTTAACAGTATGTCCCAGTGGCTGGTTTGGTGAAGGATGTAGTCAGCGTTGTAGTGGACACTGTACCAATGAGGAAATTTGTAACCATGTAGATGGGGTGTGTCCAAATGGCTGTCAAAGTGGCTACCTAGGGAATTTATGCCACAAATGTAATGCGGAATTTTAGTGTATAATTTAACAAATAATTTATGTGGACATTACTCTACAATACTTACATGTAAATTTCTTCTTCTCTACAACTACTGACAATTTCAATGAATGTTTCATTATAGCTTGCGCGACAGGTTTCTTTGGTGCAAACTGCTCTAATATTTGCTCTCAGAATTGTAAAGAAAAATGTCAACATACCGATGGATCCTGTCGGTGTAAAAGTGGTTGGACAGGTTCCCCAAATTGCATTTCAGGTAAAGAATTGTTCGTTTATTCCAAAAACGGATTTCTTGACGTTTATGTACTTGAAATTTGGTAAAACGCAAGCATCTTCATATTCTCAATGCACTTTCTTTGATTTTCTGCAGAGAAAACAAATATTGGAAGCTGTTTGTTTCTCATAATTTGTTTAAACTTTAGGAAGCCATAAAATATCTTTTTAAGAAGCTTCAAACAATGAATTTGGAATGAATGAAGATTGTTTCTTAACTCGACATGCAGGTGCTAATATTATTCTCTGACATGTTTCAATATGTTTCAAAGAACATAATTTTACAATTTTAGAATGCCCTCAGAATACGTATGGTGAAAATTGCATTCATCCCTGCAGTTCCTACTGTGCTAATGATACTTGTGATAGATTCAATGGTAGTTGTACAGAAGGATGTAAAGAACGATATTATGGAGACATATGTGATCAAAGTAAGGAAATAAAAACATTTTCCATAAGATTTTATAGGAACATGTTTAACTTTATTTTGCTGCATAAATAGAGTATTTTTCAGGCCATATACATGTATCTGATTTTGATTAATATTTTTTTTTTATTCAGGTGAGGGTTCTTTTCGTCTAAAAGTGAACAGTAAATCTGCAAAACCACCTATCGTCGGCGGAGTTCTCGGTGCAATTGCCTCTGTAACCATACTTATTGCATTGACTATTTCTTTATTGCGGTAGGATAAGTATATATTTTTTTGTATCAGTTTCTGTTTTTATTCAAAAGACTTAGTATATGTAGTCACAGTGATTTTGTTTTTGTATCTATTCATGATTTTGTCGATAAATTTTCTTCAACTTCTCAAAATTACTACATGTTATTGTATCAAATATTTTAGAAAAGGAATCTTCAGATCCTGGATAGAAAGGAGAAGACACTCACAAATATATATAAACAGCACAGATACATTGAAACAACCAGATGATGAATCCCATACCTATCAAACGTTAAATGACTTAAATAAACCAGAAAACTACATAAACTTTGATTTACATGTACCAGAAGATACAGCTGCTTGTGCTTATCAAGGATTACGCATATCTAAAAAAGAAGGAAACTATGTAAATCTTGAACTAGACAAACTTGAAAAATAAAGGTGTTATTCAGTATTAAAGCGCTGAACATATTCAAAAGATACATGTATGTATTGGTAACAGGAAAATGCATAAAATGCACATTACTTGTAACAAAAGTGGTCAACATTTACTAGACTGTAAAAATTGTCATACAAAAAACATAAACATGTAATTTGGGATTTCTTCCTTCTTTGCATTTACTCAAATAACCAACGAAATCTTGTGTGTTAATCTTCAATAAGTTAATTTTGTTTATATTCTAGTCTCTCATTGGTTGATTTCCAAAAAGGAACGCAAACCATTTCTTAATAACCTGGTTTGGTATGGGGACACCCCCCCTTTACAACCAGCTGAATCATCTGTATACATGCAATCCTCTCATTTCCAGTCCATGGGATTCATAAAAAATCCAGATTTAATAAATGTGCCTTTAACTTCAAACAGTAGCTCGATCTTACCTCATGTAAACAAACATCATGGCTGCTAGATCTGTGTATCAGTGGAAATTCCCGAAAAAAAAAAGGAATCGAAATTTCCTGGTAATATGCACATCTACATATTGTGTCCTAATTATCTGCATAGTTTGACGAAAATATGTGCAGCAATTTAAGAGGAGTTGCGCTGACAAACTGTTCATCTCTATGCTCAAGGTATGGCCAAAAACCTACGTTGAAAAGTGTGGAAATTCCCAGAAAAAATTAAGGAATCGGAATTTCCTAGTAATATGTACATCTACATATTGTGTCCTAAAATCTGCAAAGTATGACGAAATTCTGTGCAGCGGTTTATGAGGAGTTGCGCTGACAAAAAAAACAGGACTGCCGGACTGACTGACTTCATATTCAAGGTATGGCCAAAAAACCTAAGTTAAAAAGTGCGGAAATTCCCGGAAAAAATAAAGGAATAAAAATTTCCTGGTAATATGCACATCTACACATTGTGTCCTAAATATCTGCAAAGTTTGACGAAATTCTGTGCAGGGGTTTATGAGGAGTTGCGCTGACAAAAAAAACAGGACTGCCGGACTGACTGACTGATTGAAAAACATTATACCTCACGCAACTTGTTGCGTGGGGTATAATAAATGTAGATCAGCCAGGAATTTACAGCACCTATCCTTACAACCGTTCTAATTCGTGAACGTTGAATTGTGATTTACCTCATTATCATATTAAATCGTAAAATCTATGAAGACTGCGATTTCTGTCAACAGTAACGCCAAAGTATGACATTTTCATTGGCTAATGAGAAGGCAAAAAGATGTAAACACCCCCCGCCCCCCTTTAAACAGCATTGCATAGGCCATAGGTTTATTATGTGAGTATCGTATGAAAAACCATTAGCTAGCGAAGATAACAAAGAGATGGGCAGCTGTTAAATTTTGGAATTGATTGAATACAAAAAAAAACATGTTGATATTTATCACAAAGTTTCATTCTTTATCAATGCATTTATGCTTACATGTACATGTATAAATTATACTGATTCGTGGCTTATCTTTTATATATATGCTCATGGATGATTGCAAATATTGAATAAGGAACTTAATCTTTTTTTCCTTTTTAAATGATCGATGACATCGCTCGGTACAATTAAGAAAGGAGAATCCCCCTTGGGAAAGCTCTTGGGGATATAGTTCCTTATTGGGTCTATTTACAACTATGCAAATTACAACCGCTGGATACCTTATTGATTTCCTTATTTTATTTTAAGTACATGTAGCATGATATCTAAAAAGGTAAAAAAAAAAACACTGTTCAAAGAATGAAACGAAAATGTAACTGTAATAATATGGAACAAAAAACTATAAGGAAATCCTTTTGAATACTAAACATACAGTTGTTTGACCAGTTTCGAATAAGAAACCAATTTGTCAGTGCTAAAAATATATTAATAAGGTTCAAGCCTAGTATTCCGACGGTCCGGTAGTCCGACGGTCCGATAGTCCGACGGCCCGGTAGTCCGACGGTCCAACCGTAAACTGCAGATATTCCAAAGCTTTATTAATGTCTACGACTAATTACATAGACTCTTCAGTCAAACATTGCAAAAGGATTCGTAAACTCCTATAATGAATTATTGCTCCTGAATGTTTACGAATATCAAAATGCTTTCTAAAACGACAAGGCGTAGAAACATGGGGCCAACTGCAAAAGATCCATTGACCTGTGACCTTAAAATTTAGGTCAATGTCATTCAAAATATGAAACATTAAGCTCTTTTCATAGCTCTTTTGTTCTTTACCAAGTTATAAACATCTTTGCATCTTTGGTATGTACTCTAAACCATTTAAGAGATCCCATGCTTGTCCCCTAAGATTGACCCCTTTAAAAGTTTGTGCCCCTTTCAATGTAAACCTTTGTTATCGCTACACCTCCAAAACCGTAAACCGTAGAAGAACAAAACATGCAACACTGTGTGCAACAAATTTAGTACACTTTCCATTCTATTCAGTGCAAAAGAATTTGTAAACCATTTAAGAAGTTATTCCTGACAATTAATGATGTTTACGAAAAACTTAAAACTTCTTACTTACAAGTCGTAAAGAGATGGGCCCAACTGCATGAGATCTTTTGACCTTGAAGATTAAAATTGCTTATAATTGTTTTTGGTCAACATCACCTTGACTTTTGACTTTGAAATTTTAATTTAACCGTGGACCTTGACCCCTACTCAAAAATAATAAATATTCATTACCTTTACCTAGACTCAGCTTCAAGTGTTAATCTCATGTTTATGAGGGTTGTCTCTCTTGGGGATTTTTTTTTTGGATGACCTTGACCTTTGACCTTGATAAATGACCTTGACTTTTGACCCGATCAACCCAAAGGTCACAATCAAAGTGAAGGTCATGGGGGTATTCACAATTCTCACTTTAAAATATGCATATAAAATACCCCCACTTTCTCTTTAAAAAAATCAATAGCAACGTAGAAAAATTTTGTACAACTCAAACGACACCACAGATCGACATATAAATCAGGATATTCGTAAGAAGAGACCCTAAACAAAGTGTCCTGAGAGTTTTACTGTGAGTATCTTAAGTATAATAAAAGTCTAGGCAATATCAGCAAAAACATTTTTCTGTCTGAAATTTAGATGTTGATCGGCATCAAAATTAATTAAAACTTGTATTGACTATTTCTTCAGTTTTTTCTCAATAGCATTCGGTTCTCTTGCGCAAATACGAAATTTTGATACTAAGTATTCTTGATATCTTTTGTATTAGAATTTATTTCATTTTTTTCTCCATTTAAAGTACATTGCTACTCTGATAAGAGAGACAACTCTTAAAGACACAAATGTCTTTTATTCCTTTATAAATTTATCAAGTTTAAGTGCCTTTTTTGTCAAATTTTGCCCCGGAAGTCAAGATACATTTGCTTTGGAAAACCAGAAAAGTTAAAGGTAAATTTTATATGAGTGAGCAGAGGGTTTATGACCCTTAATATTAATCGAACGAATTTTGGAAATAGCGATTTTTCACATCAAATAAATTCTCATGCAATTTAGATAGGTTAGAAAAATTCACCAATTGATATGGGGTCATTCATCTTCCCTCTGAGATTCACACCTTCTTCTAAGGCCTACGGCTTTTGAGTTTCATCTGCAACTGACCACGTGTTTTCGCATTTACAACTATGTATATGCTTAGTGTTATAGTAAAACCTACATGTTGCACATTATTTTTTTCAGCAAGCACTCTGCTTCACTGTAAAGGCGTCCCATAATTATTCTATTAATTTTTCTACTTAAATTACACATCAAACAAGTAATATCTCAGTCTTTAAAGAAATTTGACCGGGACTTTACTACGAAACCATTGCCTTCCACCTTATTATAATAAGTTTAAAAATAAGCTCAATGGTTAGCTTGTCCGACTTACAAAATAAGGGTTGTATGTTCGAGCCCAGCTGGAGGAATTCTTTTTTCAATTTTTTTTTTATTATTATTATTTTTTTTTGTGCATTTTTCTTCCTTTTTTCTGGGGAAAGACCTCTTGAAATGCTTATGTTTATTATAAGGTCTTTCCACCTTTCTGTGGAAAGACCTATCGAAATTGTTCTGTTTACCATTATTTTTCTTCCCCTGAAACCTTCAGCAATGTCTTCCGACTAATTTAGGAGACTCTTCAATCTATTCATTGTGAAAGTATTCGGTGACCCCTTTAACGAGTTACTGCCCCTGATACTGAAAATTTTACAAATAATTAAAAATTTTCAAAACAAGGAGTCGTAGAGACATGGGACCAAGTGCATAAGATTCATTGACCGTTGACCTAAAAATTTATGCAAAGGTCAAGGTTATTCCAAAAATTAAAAATTAAGCTCTTCTTATATCTCTTTTGTCTTTCAACATATACTTAATGTCTTTGCATCATTAATATGTACTCTTAAAACTATTTCAAATATTTTATTCTTGTCCCCTAAAATTAGCCCTTTTAAAAGTAATTGCCCTTTTTTGAAAAACCTTGTTATTACTACTCCTTCCAAACCGTAGACCGTAGAGACACCAAACCGTCACTTATGTCTTAAGGGTCTATAAATGTGAAAGGATTTAATGACCACTTACACGAGTTACTGCCCTTTAACGTCTTTGTACTTACTATTAAACCTTATAACTTGAAAACTATAATTTTCACATTTTTTAAAATCCTTTAAGACAGTTTTTGGTTTCTTATTCATGGACTTTTATTTTAAAGAGTCAGATATAAACAAAATTCAAATAAGGTGGAAAGACCTTTTATTGTTCTGTGAACAATAAGTCTTTACACATTTCTGTGGAAAGACCTATTGATTTGCTTATGTTTATTAGTATAAGGTCTTATTACCTTTCTTTTGAAAGATTTCTTGAAATGCTTATGTTTCTTATTATTATTTTTCTGTTACAGACTTTTGAACCAAAAAACTTTTTGCTTCATGACACTGGGAAACAAAATATATTTGAAAATAATAAAATTCTGCTCAATATCGGCAAAATGTATATTTTTTCTGTCTGAAATTAAAATTTTGATGAGCATAAAATGAATTAAA